TAGGGTAGTTTTTACTGTTTAGATTTTCTACTGTTTTCCCCCAAACGTTTGTAAGTGTTAGTCACCCATCAAATAGAAACTGCTCCTCATCTACTGAGAACCTTGCAGTGTTCCCAGACCATGGGATCACTGATTTGTGAGGTGCAGTAAAACTATGTCATATGAAAAGAACCAGACCAGGGGCCAAAGATAACACTGCTATGTAGACTCTGTGGCCAGTGGCGATTTCGTTTTACAAGATGTGTCCGTGTTTGGTCAGCAAAGCTAAGGCAGTGGATTGAATGAAAGAACATGACTTTAAAAGCATTGAGAAGCACGCCAAAGGCAAGCATTTTTCGTGCAAACATTCCAAATGGGGCAAAGCACACAGTCAGCGGAGAGCTGGCCAGAAGTTGCTGCTCCCCCATCTACGGGCGCCGCACAGTAGCTGCTCCAGCATGTGCGCTGCAGAGGACTGCCCGTGCTAGCCTTTGTCCCACCTCCTCGTCCTCTCTCTTGCTTCCATCCTTCCTGCTTTCTGAGCCCCCGTGTGAAAAAAAGACTAATTGCAATCTTTTTCAGCGTGTCTAGAAATCAGTCAAATCTGTAAAGTTTTTGAAAGCTTCATGGATTTCATTTGTAAGTCTGAGGGAGGGGTCTGTTTCAGAGAAGAGAGTGAACCAGCAGAAATGAGTTCCGCTCCCCAAGTCAGCCTTGTTGAGTAGACTCCTCATTGATCAAAGCTTACGAAGCTGTGCACTCATGGGCCCCTCTTTCTAATTTGCAGGTGTTAGGTAGTCTTTCTGAGTACAGTAGCTGTGTGTACATCAATGTGGTCACCATTCCAAAAGCCTGAACTAGACAAAAAGTACAGGAAATCAAATATTACTCCTGAGTTTGGCCCCCTACAAGTATTCACGCTAAATGTATGACTAGTCGCTCCATCCTTACGTTGAGATCGTCACTCTACTGCTGTGAGATAAACATTAGGAAAGGAATTGGTAAAATTTGGATTATCCTGAAATGCTCAGAAAAGATGTGTGTAGTTTAACACTGCCATGTTTCCCGTGGTTTTCCTAGGAAAGAGAACTTATCCACTTTCCCTGATGGATGCTAAGAAAAACACATTTCTGCCCTGCTGAGGAATTAATTACATATTTTAAAAAATAGAGCATCACCAAATCAGATATCTGGCCCATTTAAATTTTACTCATATAATTATGATTTTGATACACTTATAAACTATGGATATATGCCATCTTTTCAAATTTGCATAAATATTAGCATAGACAGATGCTTGTTAAATGGCTACAAGCTATCATTCAAGAATTAGAGTTGAAAAGTAACTGGGATAAAATACAGAACAAATGATAAATGACTTGAACAAATTGAATAGATTTATTAGAAACATAAATAAAAAATAAATTTATTAGAAACATAAGACATGATTAATCCCCCCAAAACATCCAAACTTAATTAAAGTGCTATGCTAAGAAACAATTTCAAATCAAAATTTTAATGACACCTGATACTGTCTCTAATGACCCTTTACCCACCTCTTAAAATTGACCAGCTTTCTATTTTTTCCACTGAAGAACTTAAAAAATTAGAAAAGATCATTATCGAATATAATTATCTTGCTATCTTGTCTGTGTGTACCAACAAAATTCAGACACAAAATCTAATATAAAAATTTGGATTTCTTTCATCTTTCTCACAGAATGAGAAGGAAAGTAGAAGATTGGTGTTTTGCCATATAAAAGCCATATAATCCTTGCTTGTTGCTTCAAAAATGGTTTAAATGTTTTTAAATTTATTTTTTATTTGAGAGTTGTTTTTTTTTTTTTTTTCGAGAATTTCCAAACAATGACATAAATGAGGACATTGGGCTTCTAGGCAAAACTTCACAAATGTGTTGCTGAAAGTCCTGCTTACGTACAAGGAGATGAGTCCTTGGAGTGGGGGAATCACCTTCTTGGCATCTCTAGAATACTTTGAGTAAATTTCACCCTCCTCTTCCCTGTTCCTTACTCCACGGTGGGGATCTTACCTCCAGGAGAGATGTAGAAATGGTTGAGTTGAGCTTCATGCACCACAGTACCTTTACATGTACTCTCCGTTTCAGCAGACAGGTGGCTAGGCAGCGGCTGGTATGCGGGCGTAGCTGGCTGAACAAGGGCTCGAAGCATTGTCAGTTTCCAGTTGTATACAAAACAGGGTGATTTTTAAAGCTAAACAAGTACCCTGCAGGTGATCTTTTCTCCTTGTAACTTTTTAAGACTAAGAAACTATTCCTGTAATGTCATTTCAGTGCCACAAAAGTTTACATGGCCATATGGCATTGCTGCAAATTGAGGTTTTAGTAATACTTTACGTTTTAGAATTCTAAAACCACACTTTCCTTATTGGCTCTTCTCTGCCTTGTCTTTCTCTCTCTTCCCTGCTAAGCCTGTGCAGGGATAGGCCTCTCCCCTGGTGACTCTACAGGAAAACTTGGATTGAAAGGAGAAGGTAGTGGTTCCTGTCAGCCTGTCAGCTCATCACCTCCCTACGGCATGCTGAGCTCTGGGTTTTATATATCACCACGAGCTGCTCTGATATGCCCTCTTGTGTGCAAGGGCGATAGGCTTGACCGGGGGCTGGTAGCCCCTGGGCCCAAGGGGCCGAAAACTGCAGCTGGAAGGTGCACTTTGATGGAATTCACTGCTCCTTTCCCAGCGGAATGCAGCTCAAGTTGCAAAACTATTTTAGGGAGGGAAAAAATGAGGCTCAGTTTTGCATTGTATCTTGTTGCCCCCTTTCAGGAGCCAGGACTGCTGGTAAATGTGCTTCATTCCTTGACAATTTAAACTTTTTCAAAGGGACCGTCAACTGGGATAAGAGCAGTTATTTCAAAATGGTCCCATTTTAATTCTAAAACCATGCTATCTGTGAGATAAATGGTTGGGTCCTAAAGCACTCTCCACAGTGTCTTAAATACTTGCTCAAATGCAGCCTCTCGGCCCTGCTTGGCCGTTCGAGGGCTGGAAATTGTGGGTGCTTCCTCCCTGACTGCCATGGAGTCACCTCACGGCAGCGACATGGAGAGACTGCTCTCCCATTTGTGCCAGCAATTTCCTTGTCATCCTCGCCTTAGGAGAACCTTAGGGTAAATGCCACAAATGTGTCACCTCAAAAAAATGCCACCCAAACTGTTTCTACTAACACACTCTGCTGATGAGACACCACTGGCTGGGCTCCTCCCTGCCTTGGGGCCTCCAGTTTCTTAGCTGTGCTGTGGGTTTTTTCCTCCTTGCTACCACCTTTCTCTTCTGATGCTTTTGGAAAACTCGGTCTCCAAGGAAGAAAGTTTGCACTGTAACCAAAAAAAATATTTCAAAAATAAAAAAACACCACACAAACACCGAAAAGCAGAGCAGGCTCCTGGTATTGTAGCTGAGGTTAAAGCCGCCAGCACACAGGTTCACACGGATGCAGAATTCTGAAGTGGTCCAATGTGCACGTCCTACAAGAGCATCCGTGTTAGCGTGTAGGACTCTGCTAGGGAATCGGAGCTGGAAGTGGTGGACAGCAAACAGCCTGGAATGTGAAGTCTCGAGAGACACATTTAATGGTCTTGAGATGAAAGGATTTTGTTTTGATGGAAACGCTCTCATAGCACATCGGCTTCAGAACTCAGATGTTCCTGTTTTCTAGAAAAGCTTGTTTGTCTGCCAGGGAGGAGTGTGTGTATTTCTGTCAAAGAGCGTTGTGCGGTCCTGAGCAGGAGAAAGCTGGGGTCTGCTCTGCTGGCCCCGGTAGGTAAACGAGCTGCATGTCCCTGAGACACTGATCGTTACAGAAATAAGTTAGTGATTCAGCTTCCCAAGTTCCTCTTAAAGACCTCTGCTTAAAATAGCACTAAAGAGACATTTCTTAGACCTTTTGATATTTGAATCATTACTGACGAGAAGCAGAAATTTCAAGCCTACACATGGGTCAGGTAAGCAAGAGAAAAACGTGGTGCAGTTAGAACATTGTAGCTCTTTTCATGACAAAATAATATAACTGAATGTTTTGAAAGATTACATTTTAAAACTTTTCCATTTTAAAAGTATATTTGTTGTTTTTGGTTCCCTGTCATAATATTGCTACTACTTTCAATAAAGACTTAAAATATATGCAGGTAATGAGTTATTTACATGATTATTACCACCAGATTCTCAACTGGACAACTCCAAATATATTTTGGCACAATTTTAGCCTTTACTATAGGATGATATAGATAGACACATACAAAGTTTACTGTCCACTTAGGTAAAGATCACTAAATCATCAATAGCAACTATGTGATACCATACTGTTTTTATCACTAAATGATTAAATCATAATTATCATATCTAATCTCTCAACAGTTGCAAATTTTCTGTTACAGACATTTTGAAGTCAGGGATTTATTATTCTATTTTTTCCTGCGCCCCATTCCAACTTATAGCTTACAAAGCCAATTTTTCAGTTAACATATTCCTGAGAAAAGAAGGGAGGGTGGTTTCTAGGCATAATTTGAGCATCAGATTTCTGAATATTTAAAAATAAAGATGGAATGTGTTCATGAAATGTGCAAATGGAGTACAGAAACAATGACGTCTTGAAGCCAGGAAGTTTAGAAATTCTGAGTTAATTTTCAATCTGTGTTCATTTGCTTGAGAGGCATTTATCAAATGCTTGTTGTGTTCAGGTGCTAAATTTTTAAGGAAAACACATTTTATTAGATGTATGCATATCTATGTGTATGTGTGTATGTGTGTATGTGTGTGTGTGCATGCACGTGTGCATGTAGATTTCTCTATGGGCTTAAAAAATTCCAATGCTTGATTTTTAAGCTTTAACTTCAATGATTGGTTTCATTTATTCAGTTTTATTGAATAAATTAATTCAATACAGAATTTATTATTTCTTTCCCCTATAGCTGGAAAAGGAGTTTTTTTTTCCATGTTGTAGTCTGGGAGATGCTCATAATTTATTGGATGTGTTTTTTGCAGTGTCCATTTATGGAATTTGGTTTTATGATAAGGAAGAATGCCAAAGAATTGCGGAGCTTATGAAGAAGTAAGTGCTGAAAGCTAAATATTTTTCAGGCCCTGGTGCTTTTGTTTGTATTCCTAAGTGTATGCAACTACACTGTAATCTTAACAGAATAGATCTCTTACAGCGGCCCTTTCACAGTGGGCAGGGAAATGTTTAACATTGCTTAAATGAAAAACTGACATTAGAAATGACTTGCTATATTTTCACTGCGTAAGATTTATCATCTCAAGTGACTCAACTCATTTTTCTCTGCCGGTGGGAAATATATACAAGTATAATATAAATTGTTCCAGATGGCAATTCTTCTTAATATTTTCCTCATTCGTAAATTAGCAGTTTTTGCTTTGAAAAGTTCTCAATATGTCAGAGCAGTCAAAAGAACATTCACAGGGGGCCAGTGCTGCGGTGCTGCGGTTAGGCTGCCACTTGAAACTCCAGCATCCCATTATCTTAGCGCCGGTTTGAGTCCTGGCTGCTCCGCTTCCGATCCAGCTCCCTGCTAATGCACCTGGGAAGGCAGCAGAGAATAGCCCAAGTGCTTGGGCCCCTGCCACCCACACGGGAGACCCAGTTGGAGTTCCTAGCTCCTGGCTTCAGTGAACCGTAGATGGAAGATCTCTGTGTTTGTTTCTTTCTCTCTCTCTCTCTCTCTCTCTCTCTCCCTGTTACTCTGCCTTTCAAATAGATAAACCTTTAAAAAAGAAGAACAGTTGGAGCCCTCCTAAAAGGTTACTCAGATTCTCTAAATCTTCTATTTCCTTTCTGTCCTAAATGCTTTCCTTTAACTCTGCAGCCACGTGTATTGAAGCTCCAAATTGTCTCGCAGTCTCAAATACTGAGCACTTCGGATAGTCTTCATTTTCAGCCATTTTTTACATCTCCGGTGAATATCAATTTGCTCAGTAGACAGTCTCTTGCCACTCTTCTAACGTCATGTTACACCGTGATTTGTCCCATTCTGCATTTTGGGGAACTTTGAAATGAACTGTCTGGGTTTGCCACTCTTGGCTTCCCTGATTGCATTGAGAGGAGGGCCCAGGTAAGCTTGCTGTCTGCTCTGTGAGTGGCCGGTAGGCCCCAGGCCGCACACTGTGAGGCGGTTATTTCCATGCTATTTGTGGGGATGGATTAGAGCCTCAGAATGAAATGAGTTCCTGCACATGCGGTGCTCAGCCTGGGCGACACACAGGATGGCTGCTGCCTGCGTGGATGTGACCGTGCAGCTGTCTGCCTGAGAACCAATTTCCACTCTAAATCCTGGGGTGACAAAATGACTAACAAGTGACCCCAAGGAAATGAAAACTGAGCAACACCTTTTAATAAGTAAGATTGATTCCTGAAAATGTAGCTTGTGAGAGCTAATTTTAGGTGAGTAGCTCAAGTTGCAGATGGTGATTGAGTGTATCCATGTTGGTGTTTACTATTGTAACAGCCAGTTCCTAGAACATGCGCATTATTGTAAACTGTGCAGTAGACAACAGCAGAATTTCATGTAGATTAAAAAGTACCCTGTAGCTCAGCCAAGAAGCTGTGCTAAAATGAGCTGTGTTCTGCAGCAAGTGCTTAACAGCTCCGGGCAGGAAATTGATTATTTACTAGCAATAAGCAGCTGATTTGTATGAACTCAAACCTCTTACCCAGTTAGAAGTGAATCGGTGGCCGGCGCCGCAGCTCACTAGGCTAATCCTCCGCCTTGCGGCGCCGACACACCAGGTTCTAGTCCCGGTTGGGGCGCCGGATTCTGTCCCGGTTGCCCCTCTTCCAGGCCAGCCCTCTGCTGTGGCCCGGGAGTGCAGTGGAGGATGGCCCAAGTACTTGGGCCCTGCACCCCATGGGAGACCAGGAGAAGTACCTGGCTCCTGCCATCGGATCAGCGCGGTGTGCCGGCCACAGCGCACCGGCTGCGGTGGCCATTGGAGGGTGAACCAACAGCAAAGGAAGACCTTTCTCTCTGTCTCTCTCTCTCACTGTCCACTCTGCCTGTCAAAAAAAAAAAAAAAAAAAAAAAGAGAAGTGAATGGGTAAGTTCTCAGACAATGCCCCCCCTCTGTATCTCTCTCTCCCCCCTCCCCCACCATAAACTTAAGGGCAATAATAAAAGAATCTGAGTTGAAAGTCAAAGCAACAACAGGAAAATCCATTTTCTCCACATCACTCTGCGGCACGTAAGCTTGGTCTCCCAAGAGTTCACAGAAATGTGTAGTGTGTAAAAGCTGTGCATACCTTTCAAAATTTTTTCACCAAAATGAACATCTTTGAATTCTGATTTCCACTAACTTCTTGAAGTCCCCTTAATGAGGCAGGCTAGCTTCTTATCAATCCTCCTTTCAGGGCAACCAAAGACACTCATTTTCTGAGCAGTTTTCTAAATGTCCCTCTTCTCATAATTGGAATGGAACCTTCACTGTGTTTTTAAACTACCAGAGAAGCCCAGGATCCCTGTTGCTGGAATCAACATTGCCTTGGCCCAAGGCACTCTGGAATGAGGGGAGTTCCCTCAGTGTTTGGGGACACCAGATCGGGTGGCCTCAATAATTAAGGATGGTGTCCTTTCAAGTGTTCTGAGAGTTGGCCAATTATCTTCATCAGAAGGTGGACCTTTGAGACTTTCAGGCCACAGTCCATCTCTTGCACACCTTACCTCTGCCTGTGCAGTGTGAAAACAGCCACAAGCAATCCGGAAACAAAGGAGCTTGGCAGCGTTAGCAGCATTCTTTGGGACACAGGCGATGAGCATGGGTGGTGGGCTCAGTGTGGCCCACAGGTAAGAGCTGCTGACCTACATGTTTCACCTATGCGATCGGTGAACCTAGGGCCCCAGCTCTCAGTTGCCTTTGAATTCTTGAGCAGCCTTATTTCTGATAGGGTTGTAACAGAATTAAAAACAATTGCAGGAGAATTGGGATGGTTTGAAAACCACCTGTGTTGAGTGGATCTTCCTTGTGTGGACTTTGCCCTCTGTTTTTCTAGCCTGACTCAGTATGAACAGTTGAAAGCCTGCCAGGGGACTGGAGCAGGAGCCTCCCCAGTTCTCCCCAGCTCAGGGGAGGGCAAGGAAGTGGATATCCTACGCATGCTCACCAAGGCCAAGGATGAGTACACGAAGGTGAGTGTTTGCCCTTCCTTGTCATCCACACTCAAATCCCAGTGAGAACACTGTCCTTCAGAAAGCCTGAGAGCTGCTCACGTACAACTGTATGAGAAATAAAATGAAGACCACTTGCTTTCAAGCGATTCAAAGGGAGCCTAGGAAATCAATAGCCTTGTCATAGTGCACAGTATCCAGGACCTCAGCTCTTACTTGGCTTCTTTGAGTTCCTAACCAGTCTTACTTACACCGCGTAATTTAAAGACTGTATTTAAAATAGCAACAAAGGACTGTAGGAGCCTTTGTAATAAAACTCACAAAAAATGGGCAAAACTCATTTTTTGTATGAGGAAAACTTTTTTTTTTTGAAGATTTATTTTTTATTTACTTGAAAGGCAGAGTTAGAGAGGGGGAGGGAGGGAGGGAGGGAGGGAGAGAGACAGAGAGAGAGAGAGAGAGAGAGAGAGAGAAAGAGAGAAAGATCTTGAGAGATCTTCCATCTGCTGGTGCACTCCCCAAATGGCTGCAATGGCTGGGGCTGGGTCAGGCCAAAGCCAAGAGCCCAGAACAACTTCTGGGTCTCTTCCATGGGTACAGGGACCCAAGCACTTGGGTCATTTGCTGCTGCTTTCCCAGGCACACTAGCAGGGAGCTGGATTGGAAGTGGAGCAGCTGGGGCTTGAACTGACACCCATATAGGATGCTGTCCCCGGCAGAGGCTTAACCTTTAAATACTCATGAAAGGCATAAAAAATAGACTTGAACTATAGGAAATACATGCCCTGTTCTTGGATCAGAAGAGTCAACGTAAAGGTCCCAGTTCTCTGAAATCTGTAAGTTTAAGGTGATCCCCAAACAAATAGCACAGTCTGCTTTCTTTCTTCCCGGGGGCCAGACAAGTTGGTTCGTGCAGAGAAGGATATGAGGGAGAATAGCTGGGAAAACCCTGACAGAGAAGAGCCATACTCTGGCGGTAGAGGACGGACGGAGGTGAGGGATATGAGGGGAAGGTGAGGTAAGTGAGGGTGGGGCAGGGGAATAAGCCCCACCTGGTATTAAAAGATTGACATCTGCACAGTTAAAACAGTGTGAGACTAGCACTTGGCCTTAAGATTAAGCCGCCTTTTAGGACACCCCCATTCCACATGAGAGTCCCTGGCTTTCATTCCCAGCCCTGATTCCTGATTCCAGCTTCCTGTGCCTGGGAGGCAGACACCTGAATTGGCACCTGAATTGGTTCCTGGCTCCTGGCTTTGGCCTGGCCCAGCTCTGCTATTACAGGCACCTGGGGAGGACCCAGCAACTACAGGCTCTGTCTAGCACTTACATACACTGAGTCCCTGTCTCTCTGACTCTCAGATAAAAAATTAAAAAGAAGAAATTTTAAAAAAGAATAATCTCTTCTAAAACATAAACACACCAAATAGTATGGATTAACTGGTTGTATTGGTATTAAAAAAAAAAAACCTGATTGACTAGTGGGACAGATGAGCAAGTACAGAATTAGACTATACATACACACACACATATATATTTATTTTTTTGGCATTTACAATATGATAAATGTGGCAACCTCAAATCAGCTATTTGAATGGGTTTTAAATAAATGGGGCAACTGACAGCCATTTGGAAAAATACAGAATTGACTCTGTACTTCATCCTAAATACAAGATAAATTCCAAATGTGTTAGAACTTTAAATGTAAAAATAGAACCATTTAGTTACTAGAAAACTTACGTGGATTTCTTTGTAAACTAGGAGAAGGGAGATCTTTACCTATGCCTTAAAAACCCAAAAGTGACTAATTCAGCTACATAAAAATAAAAAAGTGATGATTTTGCAAGGTTTTAAAAACAAAAGTGGGCTGGCATAGTGGGTTAAGCTGCGGCGTGCAACGCCAGCATCCCATATGAGTTATGGTTTCGGTACCAGCTGCTCTGCTTCCAATCCAGCTCCCTGCTAATGTGTCTGGGAAAGCAGCAGAAGGTGGCCTGAGCACGTGAGCCCTTGTTACCCACATGGGAGATCGAGATGGAGTGGCCATTTGGGGAATGAACCAGCAGATGGAAGCTCTCTTTTTCTGTCTTTCCCTCTCTCTAACTCTGCCTTTCAAATAAGTAAATACATCTTTTTGAAAGGCAGAGTTTCAGAGAGAGAGAGAAAAAAAGAGAGAAAGAGAGGTCTTCATCCACTGGTTCACTCCCCAAGTAGCTGCAACAGCTGGAACTGGGCCAATCCGAAGCCAGGAGCCAGGAGCTTCTTCCAGATCTCCCATGCAGGTGCAGGGGCCCAAAGGCTTGGACCATCTTCTACTGCTTTCCAAGGCCATAGCAGAGAGCTGGATTGGAAATGGAGCAGCTGGGACTCAAACCAGCGCCTGTATGGAATGCTGGCATTGCAGGTGGTGACTTTACCCACTACACCACAACACCGGCCCTGTAAATACATCTTTTTTTTTTTTTTTAATTTATTTATTTATTTGAAAGTCAGAGTTACACAGAGAGAGGAGAGACTGAAAGAGGTCTTCCATCCGCTGATTCACTCCCTAATTGACTGCAACAGTTAGAGCTGCCCTGATCTGAAGCTAGGTGCCAGGAACTTCTTCCGGGATTCCCACATGCATGCAGGGGCCCAAGGACTTGGGCCATCTTCTACTGCTTTCCCAGGCCATAGCAGAGAGCTGGATCAGAAGTGGAGCAGCTGGGACTAGAACTGGCGCCCATATGGGATTGTGGCGCCCCAGGTGGCAGCTTTACCTGCTAGGCCACAGCGCCTGCCCCTGTAAATACATCTTAAAACACACACACACACACACAAGCAAAGTGAAAAGATATTTAAAAAGCTGAAACATTTTATACCTGAATAACAGGAAGAATTAATTTCTCTATTTTATAAAGAGCTCCTAAAAGTTGAGAAGTGAAAGATTAACTCTCTAGAAAATTGGGTAAAAAATTCTAGAATTTGGAAACTGGCTAAAATAAATATATGTAACTGAATAAATATCATATTATGACATAATTACTTAGACTTCAAAACATATTTGAACTGAAAAATCATAGTGAAGTGTATTTTAAGAACACAAAACTACAAATTATAAATTTTATTGTTACATCATAATATTGGCATTAAAATTTTTCAGCTATCATAGATATAAATTATGTTGATGTAGTTGGAATAAAAACTTCAGTGTAAGATAAAAAATCAAATGAAAAATTAAAACTGTAGGGGCTAATGCTGTGGCATAATGGACTTAGCACCCCATAAAGATACCAGTTCATGTCCCAGCTGCTCCTCTTCCCATCCAGCTCTCTGCTATGGCTTGGGAAAACAGTAGAAGATGGCCCAAGTGCTTGGGCCACTGTACCTGTGTAGGAGACCCAGAGGAAGCTCCTGGCTTCTAGCTTTGGATCGGCTCAGCTCTGACTGTTGCAGCCATTTGGGGAGTGAACCAGCAGATGGAAGACCTTTCTCTCTGACTCTCCCTCTCTCTGTCTATAACTCCACCTCTCAAATTAAATAAATAAAATATTTTTTAAAAAACTTAAAACTGTGTAAGATTAAGTATTAAGTGGAAACTATTTCATGTTTCATTTCTGAACTATAGAAATAAAAAGTAGAATGATTTCCCAGTTCTTCCCCTGAAAAGACTTAGAAAATAAGCAACAACCCAGTAGCAATAAGCCCCTCTATCACCCAGATTGTTATTTCTAAATAGTATTTTCTCCTGAAAGCTAGCAGGGTTCTTTAAAGGAATTTCTGATTCCAAGTCTATGATGGTAAAATTGGACTAGTAAGGTCATGTCACAAAAGACGTATAGTCAGCTTGAAAGACCACTGACCAAAGCCTCAAATTCTAACATTGACAAAAACGACTACAGTGGAATGAAGCATAGAGAAAATGTGGAAACCTCAGTGTTGATGCTGATGAGAAAGGAGAGCAAGCAAACCAAAAATACAAAACAAAACCAAAAATAATTACTGGCCATCCTTTGAAGGTTGCTAAGATGCCATACTCTACCTCTAAAAATTGCTAAGGTGGGGGCTACCTCTGTGGCATAGTAGGTAAAGCCTCTGCCTGCAGTGCTAGCATCCCATATGGGCATCAGTTCAAGTCCCAGCTGCCCCTCTTCCGATCCAGCTCTGTCCTATGGTCTGGGAAAGCAGTAGAAGAGGGCCCAAGTGCTTGAGCTCCTGCGCCCACATGGGGGACCTGGAAGAAACTCCTGGCTCCTGGCTTTGGATTGACCCAGCTCCAGCCACTGTAGCCATTTGGAGAGTGAGCCAGAAGATGGAAGATTTCTCTCTGTCTCTCACTCTGCCTCTGCCTCTCTGCTTTTCAAATAAAATAAATATTTTTTAAAAATTTCTAGGGGAATGAATGAAGTGTACTTGCCCTGCATGGACTATATATTTCAGAGGATCCTCATAGCCCTGTCAATGTGAAAAATGTCCCTACTGAAGAATTCCAACTACTAAATGTAGAGGGGACAATGGAACTTAAAACACCCTGGTAACATAATTGATTCAGGCAGTGGTCAACACTAACGTGAATGTTATGAGCAGGGTTGATGGGCACTTGAGACCACCTAAGGTCGGGCTGCCACCATCTGGAGTCCACTGGTGAGCAACATGGAAAGTTAGAAAACCAGATTTCCTGGGCTCGCAGTAGGATATACTGTGCACTGTGCAGCACCACCTTGAAATACTCTTGTGAAAGAATTGATCCTGAATCTATTAAGCTGTGAGCTCTAACTTTCTAGTTTATAGAAAGTGAGACCAGATGGAGCCAAGGGGAGGGTAGGCAGAAATGCAAATTAAATGATATCACAAGGAAGCAGAGAAATCCTGAATGCAGTGGGACCTACAGACAATTGACCAAATTGCCATATGCCCTTGCCTTGGCTGTGACTCACTTTTGATTGTTGTGAACACCCTGAGTAACAAAGAGCATCCTTTTTACTTGTCTTACATCCCTGGTCTCTTCAAAGTACTCAGCACATGGTGGATGCTACATGATG